ATTGCTCCCTTTACCCTTCAATAAAACCTGTTCCTGGGAAGACAAAGAGACTCTGAGCCTCCTCCATCCCTTTACTGAAACCCGCGACGCCTGGGATCTACAGAGCCCGAGTGCAGGGAGCTCTGGAGGTTCGGCACGTGGACTGTCGTTCCTGTGTCGTTCCCCATTCTTGGCGCTGCCATTAGCCGAGTTGTCCAGGGCTAGCCCGAGGCTTGGAAAAGTGTAGAGCGCAGCATCAGCTGGCGCCCAACGTGGGGCCTCTCGCCTGTGGACTGAAGACCCCTGGAGGAGTCTATTGGATTGTGGATTATCAAAGACTTTTGGGCGGCAGCTACCCCGGTGGGAAGCAGACCCATTTTTGTTGGGTGGCGCGCCCGGGGATCGAGGCAGCAACCCTCAGCATGCAGAGGATCGCCTCGGGGTCACAGACACCTCCTACAGCTGTTGTCCGGACCTGGTGAATTCCCCAGAGGGGGAAAAAGGTGTGTGGGCTTCCCCGGGGGGGGGGGAAGATGGTCAGACCCTTATTTTCTGTTCTTTTCTGTTGTCCTTTGCTGTTAGGAGGTGGTGGGACTGCTGAGCCGGGGGTGTAGAGATGGGTGCACGCATGTCGGCTCAGCAAAGGGGGATTTTTCACCAAGTTGTGGGTATCCTTGAGGGTGGGAGTAAAAAGTTTTCCCGAGGGTGGGTAAAAAGACTGGTGCGTTGGCTGTTTCTGCATTACCCCCAAGTGTCCCCTGAAAATATAAGCTCAATTTTGTTTTGGAATTCGGTTGGAACCAAATTAACATTATTGGTTAATCAGGGGGACAAGACAGCTGCAAAATTGATTCCGCTTTTTGTTTTGATTCGCTGGGCTCTAATTGAAAAAGGGGAAGTGCAGGGACAGCCACCACAGTCTTCTCTACTTTCCCCAGTTTCCCAGTCCCTGTGTGCCTCAACCCCTGACCCTAAGTTGGGGGAGACCTGCGGAGCAGCCTGTGCTACACAGGGCTCCAACAGTGGCAGCAGTCTTCCTGGCTCCCCATGTCTCCCTCAGAACCCTTGCC